TTAATGTCCAAAGAAGGATTTTAATTAACGGTGGTAAACATAATGTGTTCCAAGCACCTACGGTATTCGGTAATAACATCAACAGTTTAAATCATAAGTCCCAAGCACGAGAATATGATGGCACACAAGTTCAGTAGCGGGTATGGCCACCATGTGCGTTGACAATTGCCACACAACGCCTCCGCATGGACCTTATGATGCTTGTGAACACATGATTGTGAAGACGACGCCATTGTTGCTGCAGAATGGTGCCAAGATCTTGCAAATTCTGTGGTTGGTTCTGGAGAGTGCGCAGACTTCTGCCAAGGGCATCCCAGACGTGTTCGATTGGAGACCTTGACGGCCAGTCCATGACAGTTCTGAAGGAAATTCCTTGTCAAAATTGCAGTGTGGGGTCTGGCATTGTCGTGTTGGAAGATCAAACCGGGTCCATGTGCTGCCATAAAAGGCAGAAGTTCTGGTGCCAGTACCTGGTCGCGGTAAGCAGCAACGTTGAGGTTGCCACGGATGACAAGAAGCCTGGAACGTGCATTGCCACAGAAAGCAACCCACACCATGACACTTCCGCCTCGAAATCTGTCAATTTCCTGTACCCAAGACTGGGCGTAACGTTCATGACGGATCCTCCACATCCTCGCCCTACCATCAGCAAATCAAAGATTAAATCGGGATTCATCACTGAAGACGACTTGATTCCAATTCCTCTGAGTCCATCGTAAGTGTCGCTGTGCCCATATTTGACGTTGACGTCTGTGTAATTGAGTCAGAATCGGCCCGCAGTATGGCCGTCGGGCTTGAAGGTGAACAGTTCTCAGACGGTTTCGAACAGTTTGCGTACTCCGTCTACCCCTAAACAGTTCATTTCTGGTTGATTTAGCCGTAAAAAATCAGTTACGGAGGTGACGTAAGACAATCTGACGATCCTCTACATGTGACGTCACACGTGGTCGACCTGGCCGAGAGCGATCAGCGGTGGTACTCGTTTGCTGCAGACGCGTCTGTAAATCATAAACAGTCCGTCGACTACAACCCATCGTCCTTGCGACTTCAGCTACGGACGTTCCCGTCTGCAACATGCCGATGGCACGTTCACATTGTACATTTGAAAGGCGTGGCATGACAAATGGTCGTAATGACTTTTGTTTTCTTGTGTTTTTCTTTCTTTGTTAATGACTGTTGACAAGTATGGCTGAAAACAAGATTTTGATCGATTCGCCTGCACAAAAACGGGTGTTATCTGAAGACAACACGTGGCCATTACTGTTTAATACACAATAAGGGCCCACAATGATAACTGGTCAAGATGTTAAAATTTTAGGATTGTGAATTGTAACATTTGGTTCAGTATATGTGTGTGGCTGCTTGTACTATTCCGGACTGATGCCGATTTATAGTGCAGCTCAGTAAGATACCATGCCGCAGTTTAACATGAATACCCCACTCAGACACAGTATGCTGACTCCGAGCCGACCAGTCCTTGTTTTAGCCCGTTTATGCCGAGAGCGCCAGACTGGGTAACAACAAGTACCATCTTTTAACTTTTTGTGGGTATGACGCGGCCGGGGACCGAACGCCGGACCTTCCGACCTCTACCACTAGACCACGGAGTCGGTCGTGAGCGACAGGGAGGGCGGAATACAATGTGCGTGTGTACTAGTAAACTATGGTAAAAGCCAATGGAGCTGTTGAGAATGTTACCTTTTATATCTCACACGTCTATCTGGAAAAAGAATTAGGTAAAGAAACTTGCATCTAAGCATTCTCAAAGACGTTGAAAGTAGGTACTTGTTGTAGCCTTGCCTGCTGTTAATTTATCTTAAAACGTCATTTAATCACACGGTTGAGTTTTAGTTAAGAAATACAATTTACTCTACCCCTATGAAAAGTATAGTGTTGCCCTTAACTATTATAGTTAAAGCATGAGGACGCTTGCGTTGCTTTGACATTATAATAGTTCAGGGCAAAACTATACTTTATTACACTATTCACGCGGCTAGAGCAAACTTTAGTAATCTTCTAAGATGCAGAATTTAAAAATGATCATTTTGTTTTCTTGGAGATGGGTTTAACATGCGGTAAATTGAAAATCCTCCAACATGCTAACTATCGGGCTGGTCCACTTGATTGCCTGTATACCCTTACGCTCAGAGACATATTTACGTTTAAAATATAATACAACACGACTAAAATGATTAGTTTATTATTATGGGTCTTTTTTTCTTATCCGTCCAGTGTGTGAACATGCAGAAAAACGAAGGATATTGAAATTATTATTTTTTATAACAGCGGCTATATGACGGTGGTCTGTAAATAATTGAGTTAAGACCAGGAAATCCATTGATTGATATCATGAGCATCGATCCATACTGAAGACATATACATATAATTAATTCGTAGGGCACCGGGGCCGACGCACGCATCGAACAATTTTGTGACTGCTGTCGCACGGTTAGTTTTGTTGGTTTATTGTTTAACGCCGCACTCAGCAATATTCGAGCCATATGATGGCAGTCTGTGAATGTAAATAATCGAATCTGGACCGAACAATCCAGTTATTACTATCATGAACATCGATCCACGCAATTGGGATCGATGACATGCATCAACCAAGTCAGCGAGCCTGACCACCCCATCCCGTTAGTCGCCTCTTACCAAGCATAGTCGCCTTTTACGGCAAGCATGGGTTGTTGAAGACTTATTCTACCCCGGATCTTCACGTGGACACAATGCTTTGTCGCAGGATAAAGTATAGTCGGTGCCTACTCTTTTAGCGAAGCATGTTAAAAATTAAGACCTCTTTTACGCACGATGATGAGGTAGATTTCTTTAACCAATGAAGTAGGCTTATGCAATCTGAAACGAAATAAGGTAAGACTTGTGGAAAAAGATCGCCCGAGTGATCGGCACAAGCAGCCGAGCGCCAAACTATGCCATGCTCCTATCCAGACACGTCACACTGACGTCATAGCTCGCTCCTTCGCCAGTCAAGTCGTTTCTTGACTGGCAGTGAGATGTCACTCGTGTTAGGACGTAAACGGTGGGTAAGTTTTCAGTTTGTACTTCAGAATTTTGTTAGGAAATGAAACTAACATTGTAAATATAGCAAGATTGATGTACAACAGAATACATTTTGAAGGAATCAGGTGCTTGCTTCACACAAAGGACCATGTAACAATAAAAATATAATTGGTCTCGTCTATGATTTTTTTTGGCGATTTTTTAAATATTTTTATTGTTACATGGTCCTGTGCTTCACACATTGTTTACACCCAGACGTTTGTTTATCCTGTCACCGGGGATAACAAACGTCTGGATGTAAACATTCATACCGCGTTTCACCTGAAGATCTATATTGCAAAATATATGCTTGTACGTGTCATCTCTGAACTAATAAGAATTATTTATGTGGAACAATTGTATATCTGCAGGACACCAACATCGTTTTTTTCAGAATGGCAAGGAAATGTAGAATATATAAGGGCAAATGTTCATGATTCTCGTTTTTGTATGAGTAAGTTAGAACGGACGTTAAATGCGAAAACAATTTGGCGCATGTCACACGGGCAATCGGCATCTCAGTCTTATCACTTTGTAGAGCCACATGTGTATTCCCTTCTTTACACAACCAAACACCGTATCAAACATCTTGTAGTGCCGGCGACAGTTTCTGCCTCAGATAGTAAGCTGATCTGTGATGAGTGTACTGCCGCCATCGCTCGGAATGCTGAATAATGATAGTGTTGCAAAGAGTTTTCCTGACACTGAATTACCGATGTGTTGCACACGCGCTGAGTCAAATAGACCTGTTGCTCTTTTACATTCATTGTATATCATCATGAAAATGTCATCACTGAAATATTAATCTGTAGCATGTCGTATATCGACGATTGTAATACTGTATCATCCGAGACATCAAACAATGTAAAATTGTCAGTGTCTAGTAAGTGAGTGTTTGTATAGGGGAAGGTGGGGACTAAAACATCAAGCAAATACATTCGGAGCAAAACACAAATTTACGACAGATACTAATCATTCCATAATTGGGAATTATGGGTAGGTTGATCTAGCTCTTGTAATACCCTCATCGGACGTTCCAATATAATAAATGCACATATTCTGGGTTGCAGTCTATTTTAGATCTGGTCTTTCTTCTGTGGACAGCAATATACACTAACATGTTTAGTCCTCGAGTCCTTATAATGGTAACATATAAACCCCTTAAAATGACATGTTTACTAGCCTAGTCGTTATGATGATGTTTGGCAAGGATTATATGGGACTAGTGCCAATTTCTATCGCTGTTGTAGTAATGTTTATTTGTGTTGTATGTTGTTGTATTCTATTCAGTTCCTGCAACATTTCAACCAAGAGAAGAGATATATCTCTGCAGTTTGCAGCTTAGACTAATTCAGAATGTGTTTTTTTCCTATAGAAACGCGGGGTAGATTAAATGCAATCTTAATGTACAAATATAAGCAATTTCCAAAATTTGTCAGTCACCATGCTACGTTATATTAATAATACCTCTGCTACAGCAAATGTATTTTAAATCAAGTTCATCAGTGAAAGTCACACATTTGCTGAAAGGCCAGTAGTTATATTGTTTACCTGCACTATTTGCAATATAATAAATATAGTTTCAGCGTTAGAAATTGGTATTAGTCCGGTAGTCCTTACGAAACTGCCCAATAGTAAAGGTATCTTAAGGACTAGTAGAAATTGGCCCATTTTAAGGGGTTTGCTATATGTTATCATTAAAAGGACAAGTGGAAAAAAACTGTTAATTTCTAACCCTGAGTTTTCTTAACAGCATATATTGAGGTGCTTGGTAGCCTAGTTGTTAACGCATTCGCTCTTCACGCCGAAAACCCGGGATCGATTCCCCCAAATGTGTGAAGCCAATATCTGGTGTCCCCCACACACATATTACTGGAATATTGCTAAGAGCGTGTAAAACCCAACTCACCCAACCCCACTGAACAGCATATTTTGTGTTTCAGCCTCGAGTGACCCGAGTTGGACCGAGAGGAGACCAGTGACCACAAAAAAGCCTGCTACACAGGGTAGATACTGTCACTGTAGAACTTTGTAGGAGATGAGGTCAGATCAACATGTAACAAATATAAGCCAGAAAGTTCACTCAACAAACATTCATATGAACAGCAATCTCAATGTTTGTGTTGTATATTTATGATAGTCGTTTGAGTGATTTGTTAGTCGCTAGACTACCTTATATGTTTAGTAATGTTTTACCTCTACTAAGATTAACGTATTTAAAATTGTATTAGATCTAGCTCTAATCAGTACAAAAATCAAATACATACAATTTGTCAAATGGCCATATCGTGTATGTATAATGCTTGTGTGGTTTGTATTGTTTTCTGAACAACATGTTCTGTGTTTCAGCCTCGAGTGATCCGAGTCGGACCGAGGGGACACCAGTGAAGACCACAAAAAGGCCTGCTACACAGGGTAGATACTGTCACTGTAGAACTTTGTAGGAGATGAGGTCAGATCAACATGTAACAAATATAAGCCAGAAAGTTCACTCCACAAACCTTCATATGAACAGCAATCTCAACGTTTGTGTTGTATATTTATGATAGTCGTTTGAGTGATGTTAGTCGCAAGACTACCTTATATTTTTAGTAATGTTTTTCCTCTACTAAGATAAACGTATTTAAAATTGTATTAGGTCTAATCAGTGATAATTTCAAATACATAAAATTTGCCAAATGGCCATATCGTGCATGTATAATGCTTGTGTGGTTTTATTGTTTTCTAACAGCATGCTCTGTGTTTCAGCCTCGAGTGATCCGAGTCGGCCTGCGAGGACACCAGTGACGACCACAAAAAAGCCTGCTACACAAGGTAGGTGGGAGAACCCAGCAAGTAGAAAGTCCACACTTTAATCTCTCCAACAATTAACAAGCTGGGATATAGACGCATGGGTTTTCTGACTTGCGTCTTGCATGTCATCGTATCTCAGTTATGTCGATCGGTGCTCATGTTGTCAACCACTGGACTGTCTTTCTGTACCAGACTCCGCCATCTTATTGCTGGACTACTGCTGAGTGCGGCGTAAAACAACAAACAAACAGACTGACATAAACCATTGTCATGTCTTATAAGATCTATCTAATATTTCCAAACAGCAACTATACTGACAGTATCATCTCATAAAGCTCAGTCCATCAAACGTTAACACTCTCCAGCCATACACAGAATATTGTTACAACTACTGGATGTGACAGAAAGATTTTAAACATTGACTACATAATCCTTGATTACATGAACCAGCTGTCGTCCTTCCCCTTGATTCTTGTGTTGTCAGCCATGTTGGAAGTGGTTGATGACGTGTCCTGTAACGTGTCCACACGGTGAGGTGTGAACGGAGATGCCTGGATATGTACAGAGTTTACTTTGTGTTACAGCGACTCCATCCCCAGCAGACTGCGAGGACCTCTATGACGCCAGCGGGAGGGGGGACCTGGAGGAGGTGAAGCGGCCCCTGTCTCTGGGTGTCAACGTCAATTGTAGGGTGGGGAGCTGGACACCGGTGATGAGGGCAACATGGGATGGACACAGAGACGTGGTGGAGCTCCTGATGAGTAAAGGGGCCGATGTGTCACTGGTGGACGGGGACGGTGACAACATCCTTCACCTCGCCTGTCTGGTAGGACACTTGGAGACGGTGGAGTTTGTGTTGTCACTGAACGTGGTGGGCATTAACAGTAGAGGATGGAGGAGCATGACACCGGTGATGAGGGCAGCACGGTGGGGACACAGAGACGTGGTGGAGCTCCTGGTGAGTAAAGGGGCCAATGTGTCACTGGTGGACGAGAACGGTGACAACATCCTTCACCTCGCCTGTATTGACGGACACATGGAGACGGTGAAGTTTGTGCTGTCCCTGAACGTGGTGGACATCGACGCCAGGAACAACAAAGGACGGACGGCGGCCGACAGGGCGAGACATACGCCAGTGTTGGATCTCCTCGTGTCCAGTGGCGCTCAGTGACGTCAGTGTCTTGTTTGCGTAGATGGCGGTGGATGCTGCTAACAGTGACGTGGTGTGTCGTTCACTTCGTCGTGTGTAAATATGTCTTTATTTACGAGAAACTGTTTTTTTGTTTTTGGAGATGAATAAAACTTATACAAACTTTTTCAGACATTTTGTCATTTGTTGTGTTTGGAACTTCGCATGATCAGGTAAGAAAACTGTTAACTGAGTGTAAATAGAGATGATGTGTAAATTGGCCCTACCTTTAGAATACAGTACCACAAACTTTTCAAACATGTGATCATACTCTATGACGTTATTTGTAGTATTTTGTTGCGAGTCACACCAGCGAAATAATGCCCTGTGACGTCAGGGGCCATAGAATGTGCAGAAGCTCATCCCAGTGAGCTATCATCTCTACACGTAATGTAATTGAATACGCCCTGTGGTGTTGAGAGCTTTGAGAATTTGTTTACTAATTATAGCCTGCGGTGGCGCATTTAAGAGCAAGCGCTAGTTTACGAAAGCACTTTTATTTTTTTCATTTATTTTTTATTTCGTTTTTCTCGTAATTCAAGTGGATAAAATGGTTATAAATAATACATATATTATTTTTTCGGTGCATTAATTTTCATTATTATGCGCATGAATGCAGTTTATTTGGGATATTATATTGGCGCTGAACACATCCAAATGTCGCCAGTGTTAGGGTAGGTTACCCCGAGCTCTATACTTAGGCCTGGGATCCCCTTTACAATAAATCACCCCTTTACGATCATTAGGGTTAGGTACCCGTTTCGTGGCTATTAGTTTACCCGAAGTCTATCTCTTATAGATATATCTGGCTCTTATAGATTATATAACGGCACCTAATATTCTTCACACAAAAACGTCGATGTTGAAATGGTTTTGTGTCGAATACTTTGGCTACTGGAAACTGTCCTGGAACATTCACACAAGCCACTTTCACCGACTACAGTTTTTCAGTACTGATTCAAAAGCTAACTTACCGTTGTGTCGTCACTAGCCATGCACATGCCTCCCTCGTTCCTTACTGTTATCCACATCATCCTTACACACTTTTCTGCCACAAAAATCACCCGACGAATTTTTAAATACCATATCATTCATGCGTACTGACGTCCGACGTCTGACGCCTGGAGCCGTTTTCAGTTCGCGGCATATCGGCTCATTCCTCTACACTCTGTATCTTGTACATTACGGAATGGGACGAGTGTGCCAAATGGCATCGGGATCATTCGTAAGTGTCGATAGGCTAAAGTCACGAGACACCATGCCTACCCGTAACCTTCGTAAGTGTCCGTCACCTATTTGACCCTTTTCGTTCAGTTCCGTAAAGTCGTAGGCATGACTAGGTAAATTTGCACTTAAGTTTAACACTGTGGACGTAGCTCAGTCGGTTAGCTGTCGGGCTAACAATCCGAAGGTCGCGAGTTCGTGTTCGACGAATTTTCACAATAACAGGTTGCTTGTCTTGAGACATGTGACCTGCGGCAGAGATCGTCCTCACGAGAAGTTGTGGTACTGTATTCTAAAGGGGCTCCGTAAATTGTATGTAAGCACCGCACCTCGTGAAATGATCATGCATGTCGTTATAAATTTCTGTGTAAGTTTTACGTCATAAGTTTGTAATTAATCGTGAAACACAAAAAAAACCGGTTTGTTTACATCTCGCTGCACTCGGTGACCCCAGACCAAGCCGAGGCTCACGTGGCGCCAAATGTACAATGACGGTGACGTCACACTGTCAATGACGCCACGGCATTCCGGACATATATGTCCCTCCTCTTCAAACCTCACTTTGAAGTCGAAGTAAAAATCAAAATACTCTGTTATTTGTTGTAATATTTTCATTGAAACCAACGGAAATAGTGAGAAATTCCGATAAATACCGTTGTCGTTGTGCATGATTTTGCGTCAGCCATGGCGTCACACAGGACGGTAGCTTTGACAATTTCTGTTAAAAAATATCACATAAATATATCTATTTTTAATTCCCTAATTATTCCTATAATTCTCTTCCCATGCATATTCTGAACGAATAGACGAATGGATAGCTCAAAATAGTGAAAAATGATACACTGTAAAATATTTATTTTGCTTTGTTTACATTTCAAACACGTGCAGTTTTTCAAGCACAGCGTTGTTTTCACACCTAACTTATTTTGCTTGATTTGATCTCGGCACTTTCTTTGTATTGGTGACAAAGACCATCTGTCCTTTGAGTCTAACATGTATGAGGAATTCAAGGATGTGTGTATTGCAGCTGAGTTTGAAACACACGTATTGTCACAGGCGTTTCATTACCGGTACACGTGAAATGTGATTTTGTAAACTCTATCTAATATGGCGGAAAGTTCACAGTATACAGAACTGCGAAGTGTATCTTTGAGAGAAATTATAACAACAAATAACAGTAAACAGATTGTCAGAATGTTTCTGATTACTTACATGTCACATTTATGTATATACGATCCGTGAATTAACGAAAGTCACTTCGTACAATCCCGCGTACTGTTGACAGGGAACACGTCATTTTGTAAATGTCAGTCACCGGTAGTGATGTCATAAGTCAAAATTGTTATACATACTTGGTAGTTTCTTAAGGTGAAGGTCCTTGAATGAAGGCACACACGGTCATTGTATCCTGCTGTTTACAGTTTCAAGTGTGATGCAGATTTTGCATATCTCCTTATATATATATTTTCACACAATTAATTTCACTTTGGATATTTTCCAGTGTTCAATATAAAATCATACGTAAATATAGGCCACAACATGTATGAATGTACCTTTGATAATCTCGTGTTTGTTTGAACATTGTTTACATAAGAAATTGATAAGTTTATAGTGCCGTATGCGATATTTCTTTCCTTTGGACAAGTGTTACAAGATGAAATGTAAACGTAACGTATTTCATGGGAGTGTAAACGTCAATATTATTAGTTCATATGAACAACTTCCATGAGTAGCCGTTTCATTTTATTTTAAAACTAAAACTGAATATATTACTTTCACCAAATGGATATTTTGCGTTAAAGTATACGCACACATTTCCAGAAGAATTGTTTTGGTCTTGGAATAGTTTTTTTTAGGTCGTTTGATAAACATAACAGTGATATCTAACGATTCGCAGGTGTGCGTTGTCACAATCGATTTACGAATGATTTCTTCTAGTTTTGCATTGTATAATCAAAATGTTCATCTTTTTCTAAATATTGTGATCACAGGATATTAAACTAATTACATTATTTCTCCAATAATTTAAAAAAAAGTAATCAGGGGAGGTATATATATACATCAATCAAAATACCAGTGTCGTCTTTCTCCGACGTTGTCAAAGACATACAACCAGCCACACATCAATTAGAAGGGTGTCATTTCATTACATTTGATCACAAGGCTAGTGCTCCATTAATATGGGGGCGGTCGGGTAGTCTAGAGGTTTAAGCGTTCGCTCGTCACGCCGAAGAAGACCCGGGTTCGATTCCCGATAATGGTTACAATGCGTGAAGCCCATTTCTGGTGTCCCCCGCCGTGATATTGCTGGAATATTGCTTAAAGCGGCATACAATCATACTCACTCACTCCATTAATAATGGTGCATCATAAGCCAAATTATACATGCACAGTCAGAAGAATGTTGTAATCTAAGGACTAATTTACAGCTTACATAGGGCCATTAATTTCGCTATTACTTCTTATTTATGGGAAATGTAATACTCTGCGTAATCTTATACCCGGAGGTAGATCCAGTCCCGTATGTGCGCTATTCTCGCACAACCTCCACTTTTCCGATCTTAGGAAAATATTCGTCAGACAAAAAAACTCAGCATCCAGCAGGTTAATTTTGATTGCGTTTCCACAAGTTTTAAGATACAATGTGTGTAATGTACACCGACGAGGCACGATGTGCTTTTCATTTGGCATCTATCAGTTTGTTTGTCGCAAACGCTTTTCCGAATGAACCGGACGTTAAGTGAATTTGGCGATCGGCTGACATACAATCATGTTATCTAACAGTTGTAAAATATGCAATCGTTTTATCTAATAGTTACAATATAAGCATACATTTTATTTAAAGAGCATCTTTATAGTTTTTATTGCATATTTGATACTCGTGGATTTGATTTATCTCCCTATTTCAGTTTATTTAATGCGTATTTTACGCAAATACACAGCACATCTCGAGCTGTGGAATTTACCTTTTTCTTTGTTTACTCAGATTGGATCGAGATGGCAGACTTACATGAAATCACCAGACTGGGTTCCTGTCTACCTAAACTTAATCGTGCTAAGCTAGCGTGGCGTACCAACAATGGAACCAGTTTAATAAAATCACCAAACTTCCCCCTTACATTCCTACTGTACCAATTATATGAAAGTTGATACGAAATAGAATTCAAATTGACAAAGCAATAATAATTAGCTGGGGTGAGTGTACATTCGGCGTCACGGAAGTCATCACTTGTTTATAAAAAAATGTTCAGTCGGTTGAAAATCTCATTGAAAACTGATCTTAGTTTTCCCTTACGCTAAACAAAGATCTGAGGACAGCTCATTACGGGTCACGTGAGAACGTCCTCTCGCGAAATTTGACCGATCAATAAAATGACTGACAAGAAATCGACATTAGCCAATCAGAAGGCAGCTTGCGTGGCATCCAAACAATGGAACGATTTTAATAAAATCACCAAACTTCCCCCTTATATTCCTACTGTACCAATTATATGGTAGTTGATACGAAATTGAATTCAAATTGACAAAACAGTAATAATTAGCTGGGGTAAGTGTACATTCGGCGTCATGGAGGTCATCACTTGTTTATAACAAATGTTCAGTCGGTTGCCAATCTCATTAAAAACTGATCTTAGTTTTCCCTTACACTAAACAAAGATCTGAGGACATCTCATTACGGGTCACGTCAGAACGACCTCTCGCGAACTTTGACCGATCAATGAAATGACTGACAAGAAATCGATATTAGTCAATCAGAAGGCAGCTTTCTCGAGCTTTACGACACTTGTTTCAAACTGGCGACTACGCTTCCAAACATATTTTGACGTATTCTCGGTTCAAAATGTTATAACTGATATTCTAGTTAGTTTCGACAGACGCCACGGTATGGCAAT